ACCCCAACCAACATCAATGGAAACACCATTCCTCATTCTGACAGTACGGGCCATGCGGAGTTAATTCAACTGAATCCTAGCTTGCGGGGAGCGTAGCGCGGCACTTCCTAAGCGTGGTACGAACAAACTGCAGTCGACCGTCACGAGATTGCTTTTCATATGGCATCATGGCTTAGTGCCATTTTAGGGTTCGTTAGTTAGCATGACTTAGCTCCCACGATGGCTGCTTCGTCTGCCGTGGTTTTCTCATTAACAGGGCTCGTCGGTTTGCCGTAGTAGTACCCTCTAGGGTTTTCAAACGCCAGCCGTGGTCTCCGGAAAGTTTCTCCTCCACCCATCCACGATTGTGTTTTTTGGAGGGTGTCGATTGGCTGTGGCCGTGTGATAGCGCGGACAGGGCACGTGGACAGCAGTTATTGTGGTGTGAAACACACCCCTTACCCCCTCTCATTTTTCTAATCATTTTACCTACAACCCACCTCCTCTTCCTCTCACCCCCCCCACCCCCCCACCCCACCCCCCCCCCCCCCCCCTCGCACCCACCTCCTCTTCCTCTCTTCCTTTTTCGCCGTCGACACTCGCGGCTTTGTCGACGTCCGTCGCTCTGTCATCTCCCTGTCTGTCGCTTTGACGCGACCGCTATGGAGGCACTCTCTGACGCCCCATCCTGGATACTGCCAAGGGGTCTGGGAGGCAGCCCACGCCAGCCCAGTGTTGGCGTGACCCAATGTAGGCTATTTGGAAAAAATGATTCGATGAACAACGAAATGTTATGAATGCAAGGCTTCTAGTACAACTACAGAACTGAATATCCTATTAGTGTCTAAAACGAGGTAAATTAGGCAGTGTCGAGCTAGGCGAGGACCTCGGGAGCGAGGCTCGGAACGTGGTCGTAGGTCCGGTAGCGACTCGGAAGTGGTTCGGGGCGAAACTGTAGGCCGAACCAGTTGAAGCGAGCTCTTCGGAACATACAAGCTAAAGCAATCTGCAGCCACAAATAGTAATTCCTTATACCAACTTTTGCAATGAACCAAGGTCTAGGTACTATTTAGGGAGAACCCCAATCATTAATTGTGGAAATTCTACATGTTCTCTCCCCCCCCCCCCCCCCCCCCCCGGCCCCGGCCCATCATGACCCGCATTTGACTGTAACACGTCTTAATTGCAACCTTCCTGGCTCTTGGACCTCTTGCTGCCCCACCAGGCTTCTTTGCATGCATGGCAGAGATGGTGGTGGGAGTGACGTGGTGGTGGGAGCGAGATGGTGGTGATAGCAGGCCCTCAAATTTGTTGAAAGACACCTTAAGCCCTAACGGCAAACTCTGTGGCCCTCAAGCCAGGCCCCATAGCAGGCCAGACCAGGGCAGACCAGACCAGGCCAGGCCATACCAGGCCGTACCAGGCCATACCAGGCCATACCAGGCCATACCAGACCATACCAGGCCAGACCAGACCAGACCAGACCATACAAAGCCAAGCCAGGCCAGGTCAGACAATGTCAGACAAGGCCAAACGAGGTTATAGCAGACCAGGACGGGGCATGCCTGACCTGGTCACAGCAGCTCGGACTAGGTAAGTGCAGGCTCAGACCATGCAAGACCATGCAAGACGTGCCCTGATGTTGGGATGCTCGTGGTGTCCACGTTGGAAGAGACGGACTTGACTTGAGAGGCATGCGGGAGGCAGGCATGCAGGCAGTGAAGGCTTGCATGGGAGGGGAGGGGAGAATATCTCAGAGTGTGCTGCCGTGGTGCTCCTCTCAGCAGGCCGCCCTCCTCTCCTCTCCCCTGAGGTCGCTGTGTGTCACCAGCGCTCACCACAAGGCAGATGTGGATTCGGTATAACAAGATCAGACAGAGGGGCTATTGCCGCTGCACCACCTTGTCACTGCACCCCCACTCTAGCCACTTCATGCCCTCCCCCCCCCCCTCTCTCCCATCCTCCAACCTCCCTTTGCTAGCTGCTGTTGTGTGGCATGCTTATCGTGTCCCAGTGACCTCGAGGGAATTCTGCTGGATGAAGAACATGCACGGGTGAAGAACACGCATGGGTGAAGGGCAGGAATGAGTAAATGGCAGGCAAGGGTAGGTTAAGAGACGCAAGGGCGGTGCAGTGAGGGAAGCAAGTTTGATTCCAAAATGGCAGTGGAGTGGGATGCACACTGTAGCATGATGGATGGGATGAGATGAGGTATGGGATCAGATGTGCCTTAGTGGGACGGAACGGATGCCTTAGTAGTACCTCCCCCAATTAGATCGCACAACATGGCTTCTCTTATATGCTTTCTAAATGAAGCAATCCCATCATAATCTGAATGCCTTTAGCTTTGCAGAGCTACGTATCGCCATTCTTGCCATGCACGATCTACTCAAGCCACCACCTCACCCCACTCCACACCACCTCTAAGGGGGGAGAGGGGGGATCGTGGTGGAAAAGCAGCTCCTCCACCAGCGCCTGCACCACCTGGGGGGCGTTCATGGGAAGGGGGAGGTAGGGAGGGAGGAGGAAGGGGTATGGACCAGTAGTGCAGCCACCAGTGCTCCGTGTGGGTTTTAGTTCTTTTCTGCTTTCGCCCGTGGCAAACGAGGCCAAAGCTTGAGATATGCCAGTGCAGCAGCCATCAATCTGTTCAGCTCTTGAGAATTCTCTAAACGGTCATCACAGCCTGGTCTGAAGGTACGTTGAGACGGCTTTTGAGGCGCCTCACAGCAGTCAAGAAAATCGTCTCAACCAGTGCATTGAGGTCTGGCATGACTTTTGAGAATCCTTCAATGTGACTTGCCTAACCCAATGCTATCCTAACCTGATGCTTGCCTTACCTGATGCTTGCCAAACATGATGCTAGCCTAACCTGATGCTTGCCCAACCTGATGCTTGCCTATCCTGATGCTTGCCTAAACTGCTGCTTCCCTAACCTGCTGCTTGCCTAAACTGCTGCTTCCCTAACCTGCTGCTTGCCTAACCTGACACTTGCCTGACCTGACGCTTGCCTATCCTGACGCTTGCCTAACCTGATGCTTGCCTAACCTGATTATTGCCTAACCTGCTGCTTGCCTAACCTGATGCTTGCCTAACCTGACACTTGCCTGACCTGACGCTTGCCTAACCTGCTGCTTGCCTAACCTGACACTTGCCCAACCTGATGCTTGCCTATCCTGATGCTTGCCTAACCTGCTGCTTGCCTAACCTGCTGCTTGCCTAACCTGACGCTTGCCTAACCTGACGCTTGCCTGACCTGACGCTTGCCTAACCTGAGGCTTGCCTATCCTGATGCTTGCCTATCCTGATGCTTGCCTAACCTAATGCTTGCCTATCCTGATGCTTGCCTAGCCTGATGCTTACCTAACCTGATGCTTACCTAACCTGCTGATTGCCTAACCTGATGCTTGCCTATCCTGATGCTTGCCTAACCTGATGCTTGCCTAACCTGCTGCTTGCCTAACCTGCTGCTTGCCTAACCTGACGCTTGCCCAACTTGATGCTTGCCTAACCTAATGCTTGCCTAACCTGATGCCTGCCTAGCCTGATGCTTACCTAACCTGATGCTTGCCTAGCCTGATGCTTACCTAACCTGATGCTTGCCTAACCTGCTGCTTGCCTGACCTGACGCTTGCCCAACTTGATGCTTGCCTAACCTAATGCTTGCCTAACCTGATGCTTGCCTAACCTGACGCTTGCCCAACCTGATGCTTGCCTATCCTGATGCTTGCCTAACCTAATGCTTGCCTAACCTGATGCTTGCCTAGCCTGATGCTTACCTAACCTGATGCTTGCCTAACCTGATGCTTCCCTAACCTGGTGCTTGCCTAACCTGACACTTGCCTGACCTGACGCTTGCCTAACCTGACGCTTGCCTAACCTGATGCTTGCCTAACCTGATTATTGCCTAACCTGCTGCTTGCCTAACCTGATGCTTGCCTAACCTGACGCTTGCCTGACCTGACGCTTGCCTAACCTGCTGCTTGCCTAACCTGCATCTTGCCTAACCTGCTGCTTGCCTAACCTGCTGCTTGCCTAACCTGACACTTGCCCAACCTGATGCTTGCCTATCCTGATGCTTGCGTAACCTGCTGCTTGCCTAACCTGCTGCTTGCCTAACCTGACGCTTGCCTAACCTGACGCTTGCCTGACCTGACGCTTGCCTAACCTGACGCTTGCCTATCCTGATGCTTGCGTATCCTGATGCTTGCGTATCCTGACGCTTGCCTATCCTGATGCTTGCGTATCCTAATGCTTGCCTATCCTGATGCTTGCCTAGCCTGATGCTTACCTAACCTGATGCTTACCTAACCTGCTGATTGCCTAACCTGATGCTTGCCTATCCTGATGCTTGTCTAACCTGATGCTTGCCTAACCTGCTGCTTGCCTAACCTGACGCTTGCCCAACTTGATGCTTGCCTAACCTAATGCTTGCCTAACCTGATGCCTGCCTAGCCTGATGCTTACCTAACCTGATGCTTGCCTAGCCTGATGCTTACCTAACCTGATGCTTGCCTAACCTGCTGCTTGCCTGTCCTGACGCTTGCCCAACTTGATGCTTGCCTAACCTAATGCTTGCCTAACCTGATGCTTGCCTAACCTGACGCTTGCCCAACCTGATGCTTGCCTTTCCTAATGCTTGCCTAACCTGATGCTTGCCTAGCCTGATGTTTACCTAACCTGATGCTTGCCTAGCCTGATGCTTACCTAACCTGACGCTTGCCCAACTTGATGCTTGCCTAATCTGATGCTTGCCTAACCTGATGCTTGCCTAACCTGACGCTTGCCCAACCTGATGCTTGCCTTTCCTGATGCTTGCCTAACCTAATGCTTGCCTAACCTGATGCTTGCCTAGCCTGATGCTTACCTAACCTGATGCTTGCCTAACCTAATGCTTGCCTTACCTGATGCTTGCCTTACCTGATGCTTGCCTAACCTGACGCTTGCCTGACCTGACGCTTGCCTATCCTGATGCTTGCCTAACCTGATGCTTGCCTAACCTGATGCTTGCCTCCACGCCTATGTTAGTGGTCGGCTTTTCATCACGCTGCCTTCTTCCCCGCTCTTCTCTTCCCCTCCCTTTTCCTCTCCCCCCTTCTCCTCCCCGCCTTGCCCCTTTTCTCCTCCCTTCTCCTCCCCTCCGTGCTCCCTGCCTTGCCATTTCTCCCCTCCCTTTCTCCTCACTCGCCCTCGCCTACCCACTCGTTTCTCCTACACTCTCTGCTCCTCCTCCCTCGCCTCTTCCCTGCACTCTACTTCCTCTCACGACGCCCTTTCATCCTTCCCTCTGCCCTCCATCCCACTCTCCCCTGACACCTCCCTCGCCTCTCCCCTCTCTGCCTCCCTTCTCGCCTCTCCCCCCTCTGAACTCACACTCCCCTCTCCCCTCTCTGAACCCTCCCTCGCCTCTCCCACCCTCACTGACGTACCACAACACCCCCCTTCCCGCCTCTCATGCTCCAACCAGTGCCTCCTCCACACCTCCCTCCACCCCCATGCACCACACGCCCTTCTTCCTCTCCATCCCCCTTCTCCGCATCCCCCTTCTCACTCACCCCTCCCCTCTCCGCGCCTTCCCTCAACACTCCGCCTCCGCTCCCCCCTCCGCGTGGCTGGCCGTTACTTCTTTCCCCATCGGCGCTCTCCATCCCACTGGCGCGCAAAATAATTTCCGCGGACTCTCGCGGAGGCGGCGGTGGCGGCAGCGAGGACGTGATCCAGGCGGAGAGCGACCGGCGCGGGCTTCCACCGTCTCTTCGCGCTGCCGCCAATGCCACCGCCGCGTCGGCCGTTGCTGCTCGCAGCGACACTGCTACTTCCGCTGCTGCCGCCGCCGGGAAACCCGCCTGCTCGCGCGTGCTTGCCTCCTCCTGCTCCTCGCTCCTCTGCTTTTCCGGGGCTCCGCCATCGCGAATCGATTCTAATCGCTATCGTCGTCTACAGTCGCTCTCTCGCTTTCTACCGTCGCCCGTCGTCTATCGTCGCTCGTCTTCTACCTTTGCCCGTCAGTCGACGCTCTCTCGTCGTCTACCGTCATCGTCTGCTGTTCCTATTGTTTCGTCCACTGTTCTCTTTCGCCGTCAACACTCGCGGTTTTGTCAACGTCGGTCGCTCTGTCGTCTCCCTGTCTGCCGCTTTGACGCGACTGCTATCGAGCCACTAAGTGACCACCATCCCGAACGCGGATCCTGTGTGCTCATTCAGGATCTGGAAAGGGGCCAATGTTCGCCGAGTGGTGGGTGGCGTGACGCAATGTAGGCTAACTCGAAAAGAATTCGATCAACCAACAGTTATGAGTACGAGGCTTTTACAACTACAGAACTGAATGACCTACGGGAAGGATAAAAGAGTCAGAGTCGAGCTAGGCGAGGACCTCGGGGGCGAGGTTCGAAATGTGGCGACATGTCCGGTAGCGACTCGAAAGTGGTTCGGGGCGAAATCGTAGGGCAAACCAGTTGAAGCGAACTCATCGGAATATACAAGCCAATGTTATATACAGCGAAACACTATAATTCCCTATACAAGCTTAACGTAATGGAAAGAGTTCTGAGTATTATCTTGGATTAACCCTAATCAATTTCTCCACAAGTCCTACGAGTTCACTTGCCAATTGCAACCATCGCAGGATATCACCAACGCGTCACAATGCAAATAACTTAGTACAGTGCGATTACATACTGTACCACTTCTAATATTTTCTAGACGAAGAGGAACACTGCCCGCCGCATTGGGTTGTTGCTGCTACTACCGTAATTTCTCTCTCCCCCCCCCCCCCCCCCCCCGACTCCGCATTTGACGAACAAGCATAGGCTGCAGCCTTCCTGGCTGCCCCAGCAGACGTCTTTGCATGCATGGCTGAGATGGTGGTGGTGGGAGTGAGATGGTGGGTGGGAATGAGATGGTGGTGGGAGTGAGATGGTGGGAGTGAGATGGTGGTGGGAGTGAGATGGTGGTGGGAGTGAGATGGTGGTGGGAGTGAGATGGTGGTGGGAGTGAGATGGTGGTGGGAGTGAGATGGTGGGAGTGAGATGGTGGTGGGAGTGAGATGGTGGGAGTGAGATGGTGGTGGGAGTGAGATGGTGGTGGGAGTGAGTCCTCCGCACAGCGCAGCAGTGCCAACTGGTGGGACTGACGATTCCATCCCAACACCAGGCACAGTATTTTGGGGAAAGATGGGCTCAACGAAATGACATGAACTCTATAAAGCGGTTGGAGGAAGGTGTGAGAAAATAGTGGAGGGAAGGAAGGCTCCAGGAAACAGCAGAAGGCGTGCTGGAGCTTGCAAGCACAGACGAGATGGTCGAACGGGGGTGAGGGTGAAGAACAAGATGAAGTGAGGAAGGGGATGAAGAGAGGAAGGGGAGGAAGTGAGGAAGGGGAGGAAGTGAGGAAGGGGAGGAAGTGAGGAAGGGGAGGAAGTGAGGAAGGGGAGGAAGTGAGGAAGGGGATCAAGGGACAAACAGTCCTTAGGTGGGAACTCGGGCTGACTCTCTTCTGAAGTTGTTTAAGAAATCGAACTGACGGGAGTCATAAGACCTCCTCATGCCACAGCCGTCTGTCTCCACCTCATTTGTCTCTCATTTGTCCCCCTACCCAGCTACCACACACCAACTGCACTAAGACATTTTCTGCCGCGGCAGTTTCCCTGCCGCTGCCGGCCCTTGCCACTGCTGCAATGGGGCATGAGGTGAGTGAAGGGAGTCCATGGCCGCATGAGTGCAGTGGGGAACCAGCCCTGCTTGCATGAGACAAGACAAGAGTGAATAGAGCCCAATTCCCCACCTGGGCCTCCATTCACCTCGGCTAGGCGGCGATTGGCTGGAGAGACCCAGGAGCTGGAAATCGTGCGTGCACTATCCCTCACGCATGCACCCCCCGATTGCCTTTCTTTCCGTGTGAGACATGCTAGCGTCAACACCCCACCTCCGCCTCTATGCATCGCACCCTGCAGCCAGCAGCCTCATGCACTCACCTTGGCCAGGCGTCGCCAGGGGAGAGAGAGCTATGACCACGGGAATGCTGCATGCAGTGCACTACCTCTCACGCATGCACTCCCACCATCTCTCACCTTAGCGTGTGTCACCATCTCTCCACCACCTTCCTTGTGTTGCCTTACAGCACCAGAATTTACCACATTAAACAGCTGCACTCACCTTGGCGAGGCAGACGCCGGGAGAGAGCCAACACCACGAGGATGCTGTGTGCATTACCCGTCACACATGCATTCCCCCATGTGCTGAGCCCCCACCTCCCCGTACTTTACCTGATATAGCCCACCACAGCCTCTCGCCACCTCGACCTGCACTCATATTGGCCAGGTGGCATTTCATATTGGACCTCTCGCGACCACAGGAATGCTGCAAGCACTACCTCTTACGGTTGCACTCCCAATTCCCCACCTTCTGTGTGCTGCATGATAGCACCACACTTCACCACGCTCAACACCAGCACTCACCTTGGCCAGGCGGCACCTCGAGAGAGCAACAACCACAAGAATGGTGTTTGTGGATATGATGGATGCGAGAGCTGCGGCAAGACCGCCTGATGTGTGGCGCCATGGGAGAGGAGGGGGGATGGGAGTGGGTGGGAGGGGAGGGGAGGGGGTGGGAGGGAGGGGATGAGAGGGGAGGGAAGGGGATGGAAGAGGATGGAAGGGCGGGCGGGGTTGGGTGGATGGGGTTGATTGAGACCTTGGATGCGCCATCTGATAGGATGGATGTGAAAGCCACATCAAAAGAGCATGGGGAGACAGACGGAGGAGGGGATGGTGGGATGAGTGGATGGGGGTGGTTTGAATGTTGAATGCTGCGCATGCATGCACTATTCTTTGAAGACTATAGAAATTCTCTCACATCAGAACCCTCCCATCCTCCTCTCCCTCTTCCCCTCTCCACATATTACCTGCCCCAGGCACCTCCTCCACGTTAGGCGCCAGCACCACACACTTGGCCCTCCCACTGCACACCGCCTGCCCCACCTCCGTCAGCCCTGCCAGCACCCGCCGCTGCATGGCACCCTGTGCCATGGGGGGTTTAAGTGCGAGAGGGGTGAGGGAAGGAGGGGAGGGGAGAAGATCGATCTCCTTCAGCCCCACACAACCTGCCTGCCCCACCTCCTTGATGTTGCAGGGAGTTTTTGAGAATTCTCAAAATCTCCTTCAGCCCCACACAACCTGGCTGCCCCACCTCCTTGATACCTGTGCATGGGGGTTCAAGTGGGAGGGGGATGGGGAGGGGGAGGGGAGAATATTCTTCAGCCCCACACCGCTTGCCCCACCTCCTTCAGCCTGGTTGGCACGTGCCGCTGCCTCATTGCTCCCTGCTCCCATGTGTCGTTGGGGGATTGACGGGAAGACTGGAGGAAAGGGGGAGGGAGGGGACTGTGAGGGGGTGGGGTGGCACGTTGAGGTGAGAGGGAGACACTGTGAGGTGAGGGGTTGGGGAGGACTGTAAGGTGAGAGGGTGGCACAGGAACATCCTGGGAAAGTTGAAAAGGTGGGAACCGTCACCGCTCTGCAACGTACACTACCTCACGCCCGAAGGGAGTGGGGGCACGGAGGTGAGGAAGGGGGTATGGATGGACCAGTAGTGCAGCCTGAAGCGAGTTCAGCTACGGAGTAACCACCTGGTGGGCGTACCTCGGAGGAGGGCAAAGGCGAAGGGGACGGTGCGTGGGAGGAAGGAGAGGGGGTGTGAGGGAGGAGATGGGTGTGAGTAGGGGAGGAGGTGGGTGCAGCGAGGAAGGGGTGTGGGGGGCAGGTGAAACTTCGGGGCACGGCAAGACAAGGCTGTGAACATGAGATCACCAATGCAACATGCAGTCACCAAGGTATACTTTGAGGTGCCTCATGATACGTCTGAGTTTGCCAAGGCAAGGAGTGCGGCGCACTTGGCCACACCGTGATGGTGTTCAGTAAGTGACGGTGCTTGAATGCGAGTGACCGACTCGCATTCACCTGCTGCTTCAAACACCATCCCTTACTGAATGCGCGACTGCCACTCCTGTTGCTTCAAACACCATCACTTACTGAATGCGCGACTGCCACTCCTGCTGCTTCAAACACCATCACTTACTGAATGCGCGACTGCCACTCCTGCTGCTTCAAACACCATCACTTACTGAATGCGCGACTGCCACTCCTGCTGCTTCAAACACCATCACTTACTGAATGCGCGACTGCCACTCCTGCTGCTTCAAACACCATCACCTACTGAATGCGCGACTGCCACTCCTGCTGCTTCAAACACCATCACTTACTGAATGCGCGACTGCCACTCCTGCTGCTTCAAACACCATCACTTACTGAACCTGATGGGCGAACCTGATGGGCGAACCTGGTGGGCGAATCTGATGGGCGAACCTGGTGGGCGAACCTGATGGGCGAACCTGATGGGCGAACCTGATGGGTGAACCTGGTGGGCGAACCTGATGGGCGAACCTGGTGGGCGAACCTGATGGGCGAACCTGATGGCCGGCTGAGCCCGCTTTGCTTCGCAGAGTGTTTTTGAGCCAATGTAAGTGGTTGGCTGAGTTTGCCTTTTCATCGCACTGCCTTCTTGCCCTCTCATATCTTCCCCTCCCTTCACCTCTCCTCCTTCACCTCCCGTTCCTTCTCCTCCCCTGCTTGCCCTTTCTCCTCCCTCGACTTCGCCTACCCACTCATTCTCCATCCACCTGCCTCTCCTCCACTCTCCCCTCCTCTACTTTGTCAAACATATATTTATATGTTAGGATTATATGTTAGGCTTAGTGGGGTTGACTCTAGGGGGTTATTTCCTTGGGGTTTTGTACTCTCGACTCTTCCTTCCTTAGTCAATTTTTCTCTCGATCCTTACCTAGTGACTCCAAGATGGTATTAAGAGCAGAATGCTCCTTAGGACCGATTTTTTAAAAAGGGCCCACCACTAATCTCTCGATCTACTGCCCGAGTCGCGCGCCTAGGAGAAAAGCGACATTCGAAACCGTGCTCTAGGCGAGACGGTTCCCTAGACGCGGATTTTTCTTCCTAGTCACGTGCGACCCCCCCCCCCCCCCCCCCCCCCCCCCCCCCCTGAACACGTAGGCCCGTCGCGACGCCCGTACAGCCCGCGTAGGCCCGTCGCGATGCCCGTACAGCCCGCTTCGGCCCGGCGCGAAGCCCGTACAGCCCGCGTAGGCCCGTCGCGAAGCCCGTACAGCCCGCGCCAGGCAGTCGCGCAGCCCGTACAGCCCGCGCCAGGACCGCACGCAGCCCTTACAGCCCGCGACTGGCTCGCACGCGGCCCGTGTTACTGCTACTCACTGCTGCTGCTACTGCAGCTAGTGCTATTGCTGCCCCTGCTCTTACGGCACTTGCTACAGCTACTAGTGTCTGAAACTACTCCAGCTATAGCCAGTGCTACTGCTGCAGCTCCTACTACTACACTTGCTACAGCTAGTTCTACTGCTGCAGCTCCTACTCCTCCACTTGCTACAGCTAGTACTACTGCTGCAGCTCCTACTCCTCCACTTGCTACAGCTAGTACTACTGCTGCAGCTCCTACTCCAACGCATGCTACAGCTACTGCTGGTACGGCCGCCCCTCTGCAACAGCCGCCCCTGGTGCAGCCGCCCTTGCTGCAGCTGCCGCCCCTGGTACGGCCGCCCCTCTGCAGCTGCCGCCCCTGGTCCGGCCGCCCCTCTGCAGCAGCCGCCCATCTGCAGCTGCCGCCCCTGGTGCAGCCGCCCCTTTGCAGCTGCCGCCCCTGGTACGGCCGCCCCTTTGCAGCAGCCGCCCCTCTGCAGCTGCCGCCCCTGGTCCGGCCACCCCTCTGCAGCAGCCGCCCATCTGCAGCTGCCGCCCCTGGTGCAGCCGCCCCTTTGCAGCTGCCGCCCCTGGTACGACCCCACCTTTGCAGCAGCCGCCCCTCTGCAGCTGCCGCCCCTGGTACGACTGCCCCTCTCCAGCAGCCGCCCATCTACAGCTACCACCCCTGGTGCAGCCGCCCCTCTGCAGCTACCGCCCCTGGTACGGCCGCCCCTCTGCAGCAGCCGCCCATCTGCAGCTGCCACCCCTGGTGCAGCCGCCCCTCTGCAGCTACCGCCTCTGGTACGGCCACCCCTCTACAGCAGCCGTCCCTGGTGCAGCCGCCCTTGGTGCAGCCGCCCTTGGTGCAGCCGCCCCTCTGCAGCTGCCCCTCTGCAGCCGCCCTGGCCTGGACCCGCCCAGCAGCCGTGCCGCCCAGCAGCCGAGCCGCCCGGACCGCCGAGCCGCCCAGCAGCCGAGCCGCCCAGCAGCCGAGCCGCCCGGACCGCCGAGCCGCCCAGCAGCCGAGCCGCCCAGCAGCTGCGCCGCCCGAGCCGCCCAGTCTGGTAAGAGCAGCGCCTCCCTCTCCGCACTGCCCTCACCCCACTGCCCGCGCTGCTAGTCTACTGCTGTCATGGCTACCCCCAGTGTTCTCGCTTTTGACACTGAGGGCCGGGCCGTTGACTTTGACGTCTGGCTCGACGACCTGCAGCTTTTCCTACAGTGCGATAGGGCTGACGGCCTCTCCCTCTTTGACCTCACCTCTGGTGCCTCCCCTGCCCCCACTGCCACTGATGACGCCACTGTTCGCTCGCAGTGGGCCACACGCGATGCTGCTGCACGTCTTGCTGTGCGTCGCCACCTGCCTGTCTCTGAGCGTGCGCACTTTAGCCAGTACAAGAGTGCTAAGACCTTGTACGACGCTGTAGTTGCACGCTACTCCTCCCCCGCCACTGCTGCACTGAGCCGCCTCATGCTGCCTTACCTCTTTCCTGACCTTGCTGCCTTTGCCACAGTCGCTGACCTCATTACGCACCTCCGCTCTAGTGACACTCGCTACCGCGCTGCGCTTCCTGCTGAGTTCTGCGCCAAGAACCCCCCTCCCATGTACATCACCCTCTACTACATAGTCACCTGCCTCTCTGACTCCCTTCGCGCAGTCAGGGACCACTTCCTCTCAGTCTGTCCCACCACCCTCACTGTTGACCTCCTCGAAAAGGACCTCCTTGCAGCGGAGAAGAGCATACTAGCTGTAGGAGTCTCTCGTGGTGACCCGCGCACCCCCATCTTTGAGGGGTGTTCCCCCTCCCCCCTGTTGCCCTCTGTTGCCTCTGCTGCTACGGTCGACCTCGTTGGCTTCGAGTCGGTCGGTGCGGCGTCTACCTCTAGTGGGAGGCGTCGCCCTAGCAAGGGCAAGGGGGGCAAGGGAGCTGGAGGAGCTAGCGGGGGCAGTGGAGGCGGCGGTGGAGGCGGAGGGGGGGGTGGGGGTGGTGGTGGAGGTGGTGGCAGGGGCGGAGGTGTCGGTGGCGGCAGTAGAGGCGGAGGCAGCGGCGGCGGTGGCGGTGGGAGTGGAGGCGGAAGCGGCGGTGGCGGCGGCAGTGGGCGTGGAGGTGGTGGCGGAGGTGGTGGAGGCGGCGGCGGAGGAGGTGGCGGAGGAGGTCGTGGCTCGTCGCAGCGGAGTGGCTCCAGAGGTGGTCAGCGCCAGCAGCAGCAGCACGGTCAGGAGACCCTCTCCACTCAACAGCTTCGTGAGTGGTACGCTGCTCGTCAGAGGGGTGGGGGTCCTGGCCCGTGCACCTACGTCCTGCGCATTGGCGACCGTGCAGGTGAGCCGTGTGGGGGTCCGCACTCCACCCAGCGCTGCTTTGGCCGCCTGACTGACGCTTGGCGCCGCCAGTTCCCTGAGGCCTCTGAGATCCCTCGCTGGGGAGAGCTGTCTAGGGCAGGAGTAGCTATCTTTGATCTTGACTTTGATGCTATTCTTCGTGCCATGTATGCTGTGACTATTAGTGAGGAGGGTGACTGTTACCGGTGTTTCACGCCCGACCCGGGCATTGGTACTGCTGCTCTAGGTGCCGTTGAGGCTACTGTTCCAGGTGCTAGTGAGGCTGCTGCTCTAGGTGCCTGTGCGTATGCTTCCTCAGGTGCTGGTGAGTCTGCTCTCTCAGGTACCGCGTTAGTTCAGGCCTCCCACACCTTTACACTTGACTCGGGGGCGTCTCGCTCCTTCTTTCGCGACCGCACCACACTCACGCCGCTTAGTCGGCCAGTGGCGGTCTCCCTGGCAGACCCCTCTGGGGGTCGTGTTCTCGCTCACTACTCCACTGTCCTTCCGTGCCCTGCGGTCCCGTCTGGCTCCCTGTCGGGTCTGTATCTCCCCTCGTTCTCTACGAACCTGGTGGCGGGTGCTGACCTACAGGATGGCGGCGTTGACCAGTTCACCCCTGCGCGCCGACGGGAGACCCACTGCACGGACGCGGACACGGGCCGACACCTGGCCATGTTTACACGTTGGCCGGGGTCGAGCCTATACACACTCACTGTTCCGTCTCCTCCTCCTCCTACGTCTGGTCAGGTACCTGCGTCGAGTCAGGTGTTTGCTGCAGCGTCCAGGTCTGGTCCTTAGTCTGCCCCCTGCTCGTGTCGCCTCCTGTCCCACGAGACCCTCCTGTGGCACCACCGCATGGGTCACCCCTCCCTGCTTCGTCTCCGAAGCATGGCCTCCCGTCTCCTTGTCTCAGGTCTTCCCCGGTCCCTCCCTCCCCTTCCTCCGGGGCCTGGCCCTCCCTGTGTCCCCTGTGTCAAGGGTCGCCTGCGGGCTACCCCTCACTCCTCCTCCTTTCCTCCGACAGAGGCCCCGCTGCAGACACTTCACATGGACGTGTGGGGCCCAGCCCGCGTCCGTGGGCAGGGTCACGAGCGCTACTTCCTGCTGGTAGTTGATGACTGCTCGCGTTACACCACAGTCTTCCCCTTGCGCAGCAAGGGTGATGTCACTGAGGTGTTGATCGACTGGATCCGCGCAACTCGTCTCCAGCTCAGGAAGAGTTTCGGTTCGGACTTTCCTGTTCTGCGTCTGCACTCGGACAGAGGCGGAGAGTTCTACTCTGGCCTTCTGCGAGCCTACTGTCGGGCACGAGGCATCCGCCAGAGCTTCACGCTTGCGGACTCCCCACAGCAGAATGGGATTGCTGAGCGCCGCATTGGCATGGTCATGGATGTCGCCCGTACGTCCATGGTGCATGCGGCTGCCCCCCATTTTCTGTGGCCGTTTGCGGTTCGGTACGCGGCGCATCAGATAAACCTTCAGCCCAGGGTCTCCAGGCCGGAGACCTCCCCAGCTCTGCTGTGGACGGGGAAGGTTGGCGATGCGTCGGCGTTCCGTGTGTGGGGATCTCGGGCGTTTGTCCGCGACTTGTCTGCGGACAAGCTGTCCCGTCGTGCTGCTCCTTGTGTCTTCCTGGGTTTCCCCCCTGACGCACCTGGGTGGCAGTTCTACCACCCCACCTCTCGCCGTGTTCTGTCCTCCCAGGACGTCACGTTCGACGAGTCCGTCCCCTTCTACCGCCTCTTCCCCTACCGCACTCCGTCCCTCCCCCCGCCGCCCGTCTTCCTGGTACCAGGTCCCCCCCTGGTAGACCCCCTCCCCCCTCAGGGTCCTGCCCCTTCAGGTGTGTCTCAGGTAGACGCGGTTGAGCCTGTCTAGGTCACTTGTGACTCTGGTGCTGCTGCGGGTGCGGAGCCTGGGGGTGCGGGGCTTGGGGGTGCTGGGCCTGGGGGTGCTGAGCCTGGGGGTGCGGAGCCTGGAGGTGCTGCACCTGGGGGTGCTGCGCCTGGAGTTGCTGAGTCTGGGGGTGCTGAGCCTACTGGTGCTGTTCCTAGCGGTTCTCCGAGTCTTCTTCTCGC